TTTTCTCTATTTTCAAAAAGGGTGACGGTCTTGAGATAACACCATTGAGGTGACGGGGCCCCAGGGTTACTCCGGGCGATAGCTGGGCCAAGTACTTGTGGTTTAGAAAAAAAAAAAAAAAGAATATTTGGTTTTCCTCATCAAATTCCAGCATCTGGGTTCGAACACGGGTGGTGTACCCACTGAGCTAAGCTCTTGGGTCTTCCCCTCTTTCTTCCCCCCTTCCTTCCCCCCTGCGTTCCCCCCGCGTTCCCCCCGTGTTCCCCCAGCGTTCTGCCAATTTCCCCCCCTTCCTTGTAGCGCCCTGGCAGGGCGGTTGGAGTGGCGAGGCCCGACCGACCGACCGGTGGGTGGTTCCGCAAATTGGGTGACGGACCGACCAACAGAGTAGGCCTGTTACGGACGTGGCCAGGGCTCGATCCCTGGTCTATCTTTTTGCTGTTTTGGTTGAATCTCGTCACCCGTTTTCCAAACCCCTCCTTTGGTACCGTAGGATTTTGGACAACGGGCGCCATGCTGCAATTTGGGCGCCACTTTCAAATACCACATTTTTCAGTTCTGCCCTCGGGGCCTTTTCAGACATGCCCCTGGTACCGTACGTGTCACCGGTACTTATATCGGCTCCCCGTACGGTACGGGTACAAGTCTCATACCAGTTCTCTGCTGTTGTACTCGTACTCAGTGTTTCGGCATTCGGAATCCAAGACTTCGACTTTATGCCTTGCCACTGTGTCTGCATCCGGCCCTCGGTCCGAGTCTGTCAAGCGAGCGAGCGAGCGGGAAAGCGAGCGGGCGAGCGGGAAAGCGAGCGGGCGAGCAGGAAAGCGAGCGGGCGAGCAGGAAAGCGAGCGGGCGAGCGGGAAAGCGAGCGAGGAGGTAGCGACAAGGGAGCGGGAAAGTGAGCGAGGAGGGAGCGCAAAAGCGAACAAGCGAGGAGGGGCGAGCAACGAGGAGGGAGCGAGCAGCGAGGAGGGAGCGGGAAAGCTAGCGAGGAGGGAGCGAGGAGGGAGCGAGGAGGGAGCGACGAGGGAGCGGGAAAGTGAGCGAGGAGGGAGCGCAAAAGCGAGCGAGCGAGGAGGGAGCGGGAAAGCTAGCGAGGAGGGAGCGAGCAACGAGGAGGGAGCGAGGAGGGAGCGAGGAGGGAGCGAGGAGGGAGCGAGCGAGGAGGGATCGAGGAGGGAGTGAGAGGGAGCAAGCGAGGACGGCACGAGGAGGGCACGAGGAGGGAGTGAGGAGCGAGCAAGGGAAGAGGAAGCCAGCGAGCGAGCGAGTAGGTAGCCTTCCCCCCCTTCCCCGCAGTCTTCGTCTTCTTCTTCTTCTTCTTCTTCTTCCTCTTTCTTCCTCTTCTTCTTTCTTCTTTCTCCTTTTTCTTCTTCTTGTTCTTTCTTTCTTCTTCTTTTTCTTTTTTTTCTTCTTCTTACTTCTTTCTTCTTTCTTCCTCTTGTTTCTTCTTCTTCTTCTTCTTTTTCTTCGTCTTCTTGTTCTTCCTCTTTTATTCTTCTTTTTCTTCTTCTTCTTC